AGGGCACCCTAAAACACTGAGGAGCTCTCCTGGCCTCTGGCAGGACTGAGGCTGTGCAGCCCTGTACTGAGTGGGAGGTGCAATCTGGGGGTCACCATGCCTTGGGGAGTCAAGAAACAGAAGAGGGTATGAGGTGAAAGGGCCATCTTAACTCATACTTTGCAGGGGAAATACCATGTCATGAAAGTGTTTTTTCCAGGGGGAGGCTCATCTATTGCACTTTGGGTGTGTTGCTGATCCCTATGATTTCCCCAAATGTGGGGAACTCAACTGCAAAGTTTGTGTTAATGGGGATTGCCCTTGTGATTTCCCTAGTGTTTTTCTAGACTCCTTTTCATCTTTTTTTGTTGTCCTGGTGATGTCTTGTATTGTTTTCTCATTGTTTTTTTCCCCTGTGGTAAAGGATCAGGGCAAAAGGAGTCATCATTATCAGGAACCAGGGGGCTGTTTTGACTCCTTCTACCCTCTCTCTTTGCTAGAGAGAGAAAGAGGGGGACGGCTATCTGAGAACCATTGAATTTCCAAAGGCAGTGCAGGTGAGGGGATTGCTTTTCCCCAATATGGTATGGGGAACTGTGTTTTGCAAGATGATGTCTTCTATGGACAATTTTTGCAAGATAGTGTTTTTCCCCTTTGAAACACATTAAATAGATTTCAGTGCATTTCAATGGGGAACTGGGTTTCACAAGACAGCGATTTCCGTGGAACGAATTAAAATTGTCTTGCGAGGCACCACTGTAATATTATTTAATACAGTGCTCCATCTACCCTCCATTTAAGGGTTAAGTAAACAATAGTTTAACAGAATTAAATGGTGCTTAAGATTTCAGCATTGTTTAATACTGTTAATCTTTTTTTGTTTACTCATCATTATATTACCAGTGTGCCAGGCACAAACTACACATGGTGGCATAATAGACATGTCATCTTATTTATTTATTTATTTATTTATTTGTTTGTTTGTTTGTTTGTTTGTTCATTTATTTATTTATTTGCTTGCTTGCTTGCTTGCTTGCTTGCTTGCTTGCTTGCTTGCTTGCTTAGGGCATAATAGACATGTCATCTTAGTTAGTTAATTAGTCAGTTAGTCAGTTAGTTGATTTATATACCACCCATCTGGTAGCCAAGGCCATTCTGGGCAGTTTACAAGTAGACAGAGAAACAAAGTAACAAAATAAAACAACATCAAAACATTAGGAAGCACAAATCAAATATAAAGTGCAGTAGAAACAGAAATACGATAAAATAAATTAGAATTAAAAGCATGAAAAATATAAAAACATGGCAATGTGATGGATGTTATATCATCAGGCACTGACGTTATATCATCGGGTTATATCATCAGGCTATTGTTAGTTCGGGAAGGCCTTTCTAAATAGCCAGGTTTTTAATAGCTTATTGAATGGAAGTTCTAATGGAAGTTTGCCCTGGTTTCATTTCAAGTGGAACTCCTTCCCCCACCTCCTGCTTTTTATCCCTTTGAGGCTGCCATCTTGCTCTTCTTCACAGGCCCTCCACTTTCAGATGGGCTTTTTTTAAAAAGTTACATGAACTTAGATGTGAGTGAAAAGAGTTGCAGGGATTGGAAGCACAAGGTCTTATCTCTTCACCTACGTGACTGGTATTTCAAAAGAAGAACCCCAGAGGCAGAACTGTGTACAAGAACATTGGGTAGTTACCATCACGCATACTTCAGGCTTTTTTTGCATTGGTACCATTTTGGTACACTGGGAAATATTTTTTCAGGATTTATATATACAGTACATATGATACTGAAATCAGCAGTATCTGCCATATGCTCATTGGGTTAAACTGAAACCTGCTACTGTTCTGTCAGTTGTTTAAAAAAATGGTTAAAATTTAATTAATACATGGTTTGGTAAATATCTCTCTCTGTGTATAAACAAGATTTGGAATTCTCCTCCTGGAGTTCAAGACTCTGATTCCTCATGTGGAAAAGGAAATTCCTTCTAACTCAGTTTTCAGTGCAGTCCATGAAGTACTTGGGTTACAGCTGGGGTACTTTGTTGATTCTAAATTCCAGTGTGCTTAGTTGGATTTAATCTTTACCAGATGCATTTACGCATATTACATGTAGTTAAAACCCAAGAATGTCTGTTTTTAGTAAACCTCCCCTAGGATTGGGCAATTGAGAACAGGAGAGTTGACAGTGGAGGTTGTTCTCAAATCCCTTCTTTGATCCAGTTTTCCCCCTTTCTTGCAGTTTTTTCTTCCTTAAACAGCCTTAGGGCTCTGGTAGTTTGCAGCTCACTCCAAAGTCATTGAAAGGATGAGACTCACTTGTTCTCTCTTTTCATGAATGGTGAGCAATTGAGTAGGGCTATAATGGCTTGAAGCTGTGGCCACCAATGTTTTTTCCTACCATGGAACGGGGTGGATGCGATGAGTGTGAAAACTGAAATTATAAACGGAATATGAGATTGTAAGAACTTGAACATCTCTTGGTCTTCTTTCCTTTATTCTTCTGTCAGAATCTAAATCAGTCAGTGGCACATGACTGGACCTCGGGTTTACAAAAACTTATTCTGAGAAAAGAAGATGAAATCAGAGCTGCAGACCGCTGTAGAATTCAACTTCAGCTTCCAGGAAAGCAGGACAAGTTAGTAGTCATCTAACATTGCACTGATGGGCAGTGTTGCTGTGGAGCAAAACGTGCCCCAGCACCTATACAGTGGGTGACAAAGCCTCCATCAAAAAAATGACCCATGGGTGGAATGGGAACATCTCTCTCTCTCTCTCTCTCTCTGTCTCTCATTTTTATTCTGAGGCAAAAGTAGCAGGAGCTGGTATTGAAAAGAAGACTAGCTCCCATATTTTCAGGGGCAATTATTATTTCATCCCTCCCATTGCTTTCAATTTTGCTAGGCCTTTATCTTGCACTGAATATAAAAATAACACATACTGTTAAATGGGTTTCCCAGTTATTTACATTGTCCTGTGCTCGTACCTAGAAGACGTTATTTTCTTCCAACCAAAGAGGTCTGTTGACCCGCTTACTTTCCTTTATTTCTAACAGATCAGGTCGGCCTACTTTCTTTACAGCGGTATTTAATACCTTTACCCCTTCCATCAAACAATCTTGGATCAAAAATTTACAAGTGGCGAAGCTTGCTCTAGGTAAGGCTTTCCTCTGGTTTATTTGGCGAAGCTATTTATTTGGAGAAGTTATATGTTAAATTGAAAGATTGTTAACTATGGGTTTTAGTTAAATGCTGAATTAGAATTTTATTAGAAGACTGTACTGTTTACCTTTAACTGGGCATAAAATCAGTGTAGCATAATATGTACATCATCCGTGTTTGGGTAAATGTTGGTCCAACTTAAAAACGATTATTAATAATACAATGCAACCATTTTCGACTTTCTTCTTTGGCCACGGTCATAAACACAATGTGAAAGGAATATAAGCTGGATCAAGATTGTGTAAATCATGTAATGATCATAATAAGGTGGTGTGTGAAGAATTGTTTCCAGTCTGTGGCCCCGTCAAAGATGCCAGCCCTGCCTGCCCCCCAACCACGGATCCACATGCCTTCTGTTGAGAATAGCTGGTATGAGGTTATCATAACAGATAGCCTATCTATGCCATATTTTACCTTAGGAATGGACAAGGGTTGGGATACAAAATACTTCCCATCCAAAGGTACTTTGGGCTGGAGGCATTGAGTGGCAGTCCTCCATTCCACAAGGCAAACCCTCTTTTAAAATGGAAGGAGGTTTCCAAAGAATAAGGATTTTGCACAAAAACCTGATGAAGTTCAAAGAGGAAAAGAACAATTTCACTTGGCAGGCCCTAAGCACTTTTTGGATTATCCCAAGCAGGGTAATCATACAAAGTAGAGGCCTGAGCCTTTTTGATGTTATCTTTTAACCTTTTAAAAACATATCATTAACAAATTGCCCAGCATTAGAAACCTAAGAACCTAAATTTCAGCCAAAGTGAAAACGGAGTGGAAAGTGATTATTTGTATTATTTCCCTGCCTGCTTATAGCATGGCAATTGCAATGATTGAGCTCTTCTGGAAATTCCCGTTGCTTTTCATTTTGCCTGGTGTGCAGGTGTTTAACACCACAAGGTAATGTATCCATGCTGTGCCCTAACATTTAATCAAGTAGTTTGCCCTTTTTTTTCAACCAGTGACTTTTCCTGGTCAAACTGCCTGTCCTGTGTTTCAGCATACATCTATTTGCTAAGTATTGAACAAGATCCTGTTGGGTAAATTTGCACCAGTATAACCTGGATCAGTTGCTTGATACATTTAATTTATAGTAATTAAACATTTCCTGATCTCCTGGGTTTGCTTCTGAAGCTCCCTAGGGCTCCATTTGGGAGCCTCAGGACATGGGGGGGGGAGCCTTTAAAAATAAAAAAAAATGTGTCTGAATCACCACTGCTAGGAGTTGGGATAGCTGGTGATGATTCAGTGGCAATATTTGGCTTTTAAAGCCCCTCTCCCTGTCCGAAGACTCCCAAGGACTTCCCCAGAGCACAAGGGGGCCCTAGGGAGCCTCAGGACCCAACGGGGGGCGGGGGAGAATCGGAAGATTTTATTTATTTATTATTTTATTTTATTTATATCCCACCTATCTGGTCTTGCGACCAAAAATTAAATGTTTTCAGCGCCTGATCAGAGTTACACCAGCACAAAGTTATGCTCTGAGGATCTTGCCCACAACGACAAAAGGTCTCTAGCATTTCAATAAACTTATTTTGACAGAAGCTATTATGGATTGCAGCTTACTTCATCAGATCATCAGGCAGCTGTCGGTACAAGCACAACACAACTTTCCTTGCCTTCCCTCACCCCCTGCCGTAGCCTTCCGTGCTTTCTGAGGGGAAAAAAAAAACATGACTCTGTGGAATTTTTCAGAACAAGGAAGAAAACACTCTTCCCTGTTCTGTCAATGGAAGAACCCCAATAGATCCTGCCATTGGAAACCTCTTACTAGATCAGGACAAATAACTATGCTGAATGAACTAAAACATCACACAATAGCAGAGTACTCCTGAACAATCAGTGTTCCCTCTAAGCTGCACACATGCAGCTTAGAGGGAAGGCTCTAAAAAGGATCTCTTGCAGCCAGACTGATGTTGCTGGCAATTTGCTTCTGGTTGTGGGTGGAACCCTACACGTGAGGGGGGCAGAGCCCCGCGCAGCACTAGCAAAAATTAGAATGTTCTGGATAATCCTGCTGCTCTTTCCCCATCATTTGTCATTGTTTTCCCTTCCACGCTGACTCTGAAAATGTTTGCAGGAACATTTTGGAATGCCAGCTTGTCAATATAAAGGGGAAAAAAGCTTGATGGCCACTTTATCTTATAAACGATAATATTAGGATAGATTTGCATATTAGTGTAAATTAATTTGTTACAACTCCTTTGTCATTATAGCTGAGGAGAATCTGCTTGGCTGGTTCTGTATAGACGATGATGGGAATCAGATTAAAAAAGAGAAGCATCCTCTCCTTGTCAAGCATATGCCTGTGATGATGGCCAAACAACAGGAATTTAAGGTGAATAATATTTACTTCTTTTTTTGCTAATAATATCATATAGTGGTGGAAATCCTGCTGTCGTATGATAGGCAGCGTACGTCTGACAACATCCTCCTCCGAAAGTCTCAAACTGGAAATGTTTAATTTCCAAGACATTGCTGCAGCTCATGCTGGCATCAACTTCACATGACGTAACTTACATAAAAGGATTTCAGTCAGAGACTTCAATATGCATAAGTGTGATCTCCATAATTATTTTGCAGATATCCGGAAAAGTATTTTTCACTGAAGTCCAAATTACATATTATACTATTGTATAGGGTGTTATCATCATCATTTTCTTTTTAATAAATTGCAGGTTCTTGGGAAAGATTGTTGTTGTGATCACACTGTGCAGGAATAAGACGTTTATATCTTCCTGCCCAGCTGAGGCTGAGATGAAAATTCTCTTCTGTGGCACAGCTATAAGGAGCTTTAAAAAGGTTGCCATGCATCAGTGAAATGCTTGCTTCCTCAAGACTCATAGCTGCATGGGATGGGATGGGATGGACTGGATTTTCAAGCCCAAATCCATCTATTGAAGACAGGTTAAACCACACATATTCATCTACCAAATGACTCAGCAATAGAGATGGGCACAAAGTGCTGGTTCAGTGGTTCGGTGTGGTTTGTTTCCTGGCCAAATAGCTGATCGGTTCAGCAACCTTCCAGTGGATACTCACTCAGTGGCAGCATCCCACCCCGCCTCCTCTGGTCACTGCTGCCAGGTGGATGCCCACTGGAAGGAGTAGGGCACCAAACTATGGATCAGCCAGGAAATTAACCACAGCAAACCAGCGGTTCATGCCCATCTCCGCTGAGCAACCATTTAGCGTGCTCCTGCAGCTGAAATTAATTTAGGGGTGTGGGGGGAAGCAAGGTGCAACTATGTGTAATTGATTCAGTGTAACATGTAGTTTGGCCTTGAGATGAATTGAAAATAGTTCTGTTGAGCTGTGTGATACAGTTCCTACTGGTGTATCTGTACCTGGCTCCCCTTTGCTCAGTCTGTTCCTTTGTCTAACTGTAGTCTATTTGCTGCACAGTCAGTGAAAATAGGGCTGGATGCTATGTTGCACCTAAATGCATGTAACAAATGTCTGAGCAGCCCTGCTTTGAAAAAGAAAACTCTCAGGATGTCCCTTACATGCACTTGCATATTGTGTGCAGATAGTATATGTCCTTTATTTTAATGTGCATTTGAGTGTTAGACACTCGTCACCAGCTGTATGCTGAACAATATAAAGCAAAAAAGCGTGCTTATATACCACCCCATAGCGCTTCAAGCACTCTCTGGGTGGTTTACAAGTTAATTATGCAGGCTACACATCGCCTCCCCCCCCCCCCCGGCGCCCTGGGAACCT